AAAACCTACACAGGCATTCTCGGTAAACTTGTTGTGGTAGCACCATAATAATAATAATAACAACACAGTTTTTATATAGCGCATCTAATTAATTAAGGTCTCGATGCGCTTCACAGGAAACAACAATTAAAAGCAATTAATGGAACAGGTGAGTTTTAAGGAGTGTTTTAAATTCATTTTCGGCATTGACAGTTCTAATATGGAGTGGGAGAGAGTTCCAAAGCGATGGTGTTGCATGCATGAAGGAACGATGTCCATAAGTCTTAGTGCGAGTGACCGGTGTACTGAGCAGCAATGTTGGCAAAATCTATTTTGTGAGTTTGTGTGGTTCTGAAAATGACCGGAGAACCACACATACTCACACACATTTTTACAAAAGTTGATACCGCAACAACTTAGCTTATTGTAGCGGTGAAGCCACATATCTAGGGTCGCCTCGTCGGTGGGCCTCGCCAGTTTATTAAAACACGGAAGACAAACACTGCAGAATCTCTTTTCATTATTTTGCACTGCAGGGCCATCACAAAAAAGTGTTTTAGGCTCAGTGACGATGCAGTAAAATTAAGAACCCTGAAATTACAATTAGTAAACAACTTAACGAGCTTGGGCATATTACACAATTTTGTATTAATTAAAGTTTCCATTTTAATAATTAGATTTCTAAAATAATGTAGTACAGATACGAACCCAAGTATCAGGTTCAAAAAAAGATATGTCTTGATTGGATTACAGCACAGCACAGCTCAGTTCAAAACCAGTGATCTAGCTTCATCAAAATGCCTGAAAACGTGCAATGATGTAGCCCAACAATGAGAAAAGGCCTACATTATTACGGTCTGCCGTTAGTTGAACTCGCCAACGTGGTACCTGGTTTCTTTTCCGTGCGCGTCCCGAATGTATACATTTTGTGGCAAATGTATACATTTCGTGGGGCTGAAGAAGTATGGAGCGCATAGAATAACCAAATTAGTATGGAGCGCCTCAATGATTTTGGAATACTACCAGAATTTTTCAATTTTGTCCAAATACATACATACATTTAACAATGATAACAGGCCTTTTAGCTCAGGTTGTAAAATGCGACTTGTTGGAAGAAAATTTTAAAGGCTTGCTAGCGTTTTGATAGGTATAAGTAGAGGAATGTTTTTGCTTATATTTTTGAGCGTCGACAATGATTCGATTTGGTTATGTTGAAACTTGAGTAGATTCATTTAAGCATTAAAAGCTGTTACGAATTGTCGTTTATTTGTCGATTTATTTATTTCTTGATCATATTTCTTCAACCAGGGTATGCCAAATTTCGTTGTCGTTTTTTTTTTTTTTGCAAACACAAACTGCAGTGGGAGGAAATGTCATCGCTGGAATAGTCTGTGGAAAGCTTCATTGGGCCCATCGACAAAATGTTGGTGAATTGTCCTTTCTTTCATCGTGGCTGAAGTTGTTAAAAATGTTGGGGTATTTTATTACTAACATGACAACCAATGAAAAGGCATTATTTTTTTCCCTCGCGGGTTGCATGCTTAAAGAGAGAGAGAGTTACAGTCTGTTAATATGGCTCATAGTGAAGCCTGCAATCAGCCGGGGCGTTGTTGGTTAACCCTGCAATGAAGACAAGAAGAGTGACAAAGAGTGTCTTTCCGCTGGACTTTTGCTCGAGTGGTTGTGTAGTTATCAGGCGCGGATCCAGGGGTTTTTGGTAGTCAAACCCCCCAGCTCTGTCATTTTTTTTGGCGTAGAGATTCGTTGAAAATAATGAACCCCCCCCAATGCTCTGACACCCAAAATAATTATATTGGTAATACTATCTGCCCGTGCACAAAATACGGAAGGAGGCAGCTTGGTTACGGTGTATTTTACAGTATTCTGTAATATAGTGTTAATAATCGTCGGATTTGAACAACGCCGCCATTGAAAGTAAGGACAGAGGCCAACCTTCCCTCTCCACCTATTGATTTTCGGAGGTCCAGTGTCCGAAGAAAAAACATGTATACATTTCCTTTTTTTGGGCTGATGAAACCCCCATGTTCTATTTGATCAAATTAGTCATGGTTGGGACCTGATTACAATTATATCAAAGTACAATGTTACGGTATTGTATCTAAACCCTTTTGTTTTGAGTTGTTTTTGCAAGCATGTACATAACCAACTAATGCATAAAAGGAAACTGACAGAAACTTATAAACAGTTTTTTTTCAGGGATGTTCAGGATAAACTGATGCGAAAACGTGATTGGTAATATTTGTTTTTTGTTAAATCCTTCTGTCTGGAAGAATGTTCATTGTGAGCCCTCCGTTCATGCAGGTTAACAGAGCAAAAGGAAAAAAAATCCAATGCTTGATTACACTTTTAAAACGCTGCTTAAAATTTGGTTGGTTGAAACAAGTTTGTTAAATTTTAATTAACATTGTGCAAGATTTTCAAATTTTTCCCAAATGTTTACCAAACGTTCGGCACATTTTGCCCATTTTGTTGGGTATTTATGTTAACCAACTGTTGGGCTGCTCACCTGGTAAAAACAGTTCGTTGAAATTAGTCATTTTACCCATGTCGGTTATTTGGAAAATTGTACACTATGTGGGTTACAATTCTTATCAACTTTTTCAACCAACCAAAATTAACCAGCGTTTTGAGCGTGTGCGCATCATGCGTTTATAACACGGCTCCATGCGAACTTCATCACGACAACAGACGGAAATGCAGTACCTTATGCGATAATCTACCATTCGTTTTAATAACGTAAACAACTGAACAAATACTTGCAATTTACACTGATCAGCATCATGAGATAGTGTTTATTAAAGTAAAAGAGAAAAGTGATTTTTTATCTTATGCATGGGAACATTATAGTCTACAGAACATATTCAACATATTTAAATTTCCTACCTATAACACTTTTTAAATTTGACTAAGCCTGTGATAACGCCACACTTAACTAAGAAAAGATTTTTGTAAATTTTAATGACTACAAGCGTGTTCTGTTCAAACATAAAATTAAGCAAGAGTAAGGTAAATTATTGATATCTTACAACATTGAGATTCAGTCTACACATTTTCATTACTTACATGAAACGAAGAATCGCATTTTAGATGACAACATGTTTACAACATTTTCAAAGTCTATACACTCTGAAGATATTCGTTAAATTTGATTTGAAATCAGTCGACTTTGCATTGTATTCAGATGAGTGCAAGGAAGACTGTTTTCTTGTTAAATCAAAATTGGTGTTTTATTATTTTTTGTCTGTATCTTAAAGGGCCTACCAATGCCAATATACTAAAAAGTTGAATTGATATCACATGACGTCAACGGGCAATGTACATGCATAATTTCACTATTGAGACATTTTTATTTAATTAGATGAAGCTCTTCAACGTATTTACATTGCAAGGGAAAAAGAACAGAGATCGAAAAAAAAAGCATGAAAACAAAAATCAGAAGATTTGGTCAGTTCTTTTGAACAAATGTTGCAATAAAAAAAGACAACAAACCTCGGCCACATTCTACCCTTGCCCCCCCCCCTAAAAAAAACCAAACACAACCAAAAGGTTCACGTTTACTTTTCAGTAGAGATGCGAAATCTAAACCCTGAAATAAAGCCTGAAAGTTCACCCCTGGTAGCGCGCTCTCGAAAATTAACGTGCACAAATCCAAAATATTTGTTTAAAAACAATGTTAGGTACATTAATTTCTAAAACAAATCCCCATCGAAAATGTTCTTTGTAAAAATGTTAGGATCTCAATTAACGGAAACTGGAAAATCGCATAACTCGAAAGAGAAATATCATGCCAAAATTAACCTCTGACTCGACTCTGACAAACATTTAAAATGCATGTAGACTAGTGGAACTCAATGTGGTCGTACAAAGATGAAACATTATGAAATAATTTTGATATCCGATTCTCCTTGTCCACAGTGATATCAGATAAATCAGTCTGATCGTCTGCATCGTCTGGTGATGTTGCAAACTGTCTAGTGACCGATAGACTGGAGTCCAACACCTTTACATAATTTTTTATCTGCGACAAGAAGAAGACCACCAGTGGTCACAGCAACAAATCCAGGGTTCTTCAACTGCTCCCCACCAACATTTTGTTTATACTCCCCAGTGGAAGTAAAAACCATCAACTTTGATTTCTCCATGTCGGTTACGGCTATGTCACCATTGCTTAGACACGCGACGCCTGCAGCACATAGAAATGTCCAATCTTCTGGCCCCGTCTCACCAAACTCTACTTTCAACTGCCAGTTTTCTTCCTGAAGTACATCACCGATGTCTGTATCTGCCACATCTTGACATTTGACGCCGATGAATGAGAGCTCATGCTGTGCCTGCTCAAATTCGAGTTCATCCTGGAACTCTAAGTTGTGCATCACCTTGGGTTTGAGGTCCAAAAGCTCAAAGTCGTCAGCTTGCTGACAATGAGTTGGAAACAACTCGGATCATCTTTACTCGTATGCTAAATGAGAAGTGTTATTAAAATTGTATGAATTTCGGTGTTGGATATTTTGCGCCCACACGAATCACACGAACCGTTCAATAGTTAATACGTGTGTGGACTTAGGGGTGGATCCAGAATTTTTTGCGGGGGGGGGGGGGTCACCGGCAAACAAAATCTGAAATGAAGGCACTTTTTTTTCTCCGGATACTTGGCCTCCGTATAATCGAAACGTAAGGGGGTGGGTGCTCGTACCAAACTTTTAATGGGGCGCTGTTCAGAACCGACAATTATCATCACTATATCGCGTAATAATGTATAATACCCCTGACCAAGCTGGCTCTGTATGTATTTGGTCCAAGGCGGACATTATTACTAACAAAACCAAATTGGGTGTCGGGGCAGGGGGGGGGCGCATTTTTATCATGAATTTTTATGGAACAAATTGCCAGAGTTGGGGTGGATCCGCCCCTGGGATTAATCAATGCCAACAACAGGCCAATACGGACCGATGAATGTGTGTGTTGTCACTTAAGATGGATTGTTGTACAGACTCTCTGGCTCACACCCGCTGGAAGATCTTGACGGAGACCCCATCAGCCACCACGAGGTCTCCGTTTTGAGAGAATGTCAGGCTGACGGGAGAGTGAAGTCCGCGAGCCACACGCCCAATGAAGACCCCCGCAGGTGAATAATGGTGCACTTCACAGCTATCAAATCGTTCACTGCCTGCACTGTCGTCATCGCCTTCACTGCCTTCACTGCCGTCTTTGTCTTCACAGTCTTCCCTGCTTTCACCTTCTTTGACACCAACGTTAACAAAGATGTCCCCAGCATCATCGCAGCACACGCCCCAGGGACATGCTGGTTCCCCGTCAAGTAAAGTATCGACATTGAACACCTCATCTCCCGTATAGGTAGTGCAAATCAACTTGCTCTCATAGAAGTTTGTGAAGACCAAGCGTTCCCTAATCCCGATGGCCAAACCACCACCGAACATGTCATTGGGAATGGTTCTAATTAAGGACCCATCCAAATGGTGCAAAGAAATAATTTTTCTCTTTGAGTCTGCCACTGCTATCCGATTCTCCTTGTCCACAGTGATATCAGATAAATCAGTCTTATCGTCTGCATCGTCAGGTGATGTTGCAAACTGTCTAATGACCGATAGACTGGAGTCCAACACCTTTACATAATTTTTATCTGCGACAAGAAGAAGACCATCAGTGGTCACAGCAACAAATCCAGGGTTATTCAACTGCTCCCCACCAACATTTTTTTTATACTCCCCAGTGGAAGTAAAAACCATCAACTTCGATTTCTCCATGTCGGTTACGGCTATGTCACCATTGCTTAGACACGCGACGCCTGCAGCACATAGAAATGTCCCATCTTCTTGCCCCGTCTCACCAAACTCTACTTTCAACTGCCAGTTTTCTTTCTGAAGTACTTCACCGATGTCTGTATCTGCCACGACATCTTGACATTTGACCCCAATGAATGAGAGCTCATGCTGTGCCTGCTCAAAGTCGAGTTCATCCTGGAACTCTAAGTTGTGCATCACCTTGGGTTTGAGGTCCAAAAGCTCAAAGTCGTCAGCTTGCTGCATCAAGTCGTTGACTGTCGCTACGATTTGCTCAGCCCGCTTCATCTTGTCACAATTGCTTTTCTGGACTTCTTCGAACTTCCTTTCTCGTGCTTCTCCGATTTGGGTTACTTTGTCCCTCAGAAGGCGAGATTTGTTTCTGATCTTTGATATCTCTTCTTCCTCTTTGGTGGTAACGTCTTTACAAGTCCGGGCGACCTTGATTCTCAACCTGTTCCTTGCATGTGATAGTGAATCGTCGGCGACTTTGAATTCCTCTCTGTTCTGTTCGAACCTTTGCAGAATCTCGCCGACATCCTGACGGTACAATCGAATGGCATCAGCGACTACTATGTATTCATGCTCCGCTCCTCGATGATCTAATGCAGCACATGCCGCACACGCCAACGTCTTGCATGTCTCGCAGTAAAGACATATATCCTGGTTATGGTGTTTGTTACATTTCAAATTACCTTTCTTTCGAGGACCGATCAAGGCTTCAGCGAATTCGTGGTCTTCTTTTCCAATTATCCGATGGTGTCTCATGGATTTCAAGCGCTCGTGGGCTTCGAGGCATTTCGTGCAGATAAGTTTGCAGCAGTCTAAACACTTTGAAATGGCTTCCAAGCCCTCGTCGCATTCCTCACACGTTGGAGCATCCGTTGGCCCGTCGCCAAGTAACCTCTCCTGTTTGTTAAATTCATCGACGAGGTTACTCAGGAAAAAGCATTTTGGTAGACCCTGCAATCCGGTGTCTGGTACCGCAGTTACCCGCCTGCAAACTGGGCAAGTAATCTCGTCTGCCTTGGGTTGCTGTCTGCTGATGAGCTCGAGTAGACAGTTTAGGCAAAAGTTGTGCAGACAGTCCAGTATCTTGGGATCGGCGAAACGACAGCAACAAATCGGGCATTCGAGGTGTCCCCGACTGATCGTACCCAGCACGGATTTGGCTGCAGCTTCCGCCATCTTTCTACAACCAAAAAAGTTGAAAGACATTCCGGTAACATAGATGACCAAGTACTTATCATAACAATTCTCATGCACGTTGGTTGAAAATATATTGCAAATCTGAGAAATTAGCAATTGTCACAAAACTTACACTAAGTCGCGCTGCCGTGATTTTGAACTCAGTGTCGGGAACGGAAAAGGCGCCATTTGTCAAAGTGTCATATATTCCGTTCTTACGTCTGCTGTTTTGGTTGAATGGGTATTTGGGCTATTTAGGTCCTTGGGAGGTACGATACGAGGTGCTCTAAGAGAACTGCGTGCATAGCTCCATAGAACAAAATGAGTTAAAGGTTTTCGTGTTTCGTATTCAAAACACATATCAGCGGCTGTCAGCGTACGCCTGCATGAAAGAAAAAATAACTGTTTTCATATCAAACACCTCATTCACTTTTTGTAATTGTGTTTGTTCAGTGACATGATTTGCGAATGAATTGTTCTAATGAAGTTCAATCCATCCAGTGGTATCTACTACGGAGCACACTGTTGCACCATAATGCATAACCTGTCGAATCTGTAGCTACCTTAATTTTGCTTAGTCGTGTCTCCTATGTTTGTGTCCAAGACTATACTGTAGAAACAGCTAGTTGTATTAGCCACAGTTAAATATTTCTGTAAACCAATTTTTGTTGTCAAATGCAATTTCACAACTACTTCACCCGTAATGTATGCAATCGCATTCACTTGATGAACATAATTATAACATGGTTGAAATTGTATACCTACACATTTGACATGTTTGCGTCTATATACATATATAACTATGACACCCACCTTGTATGAACTTGCGAAGACACTAGTTCAAGATCACCATTATTTGTGGTTCTCTCACATGAAATTTGTTGCAAAGGGTAACAATTGAAGAAGAGAACACCTGCTGTGATGGAATGACATCCGAATATTGAGTGTAATGGATTCGTATTCACTGTGTAATATACTACTCCAATTTCGCAATGTCGGGAAAAACCAACAGCTATTTCAAAACCAAAAGCATGCCGAGAGGTTCAAAGTCATATAGATCATGCGATGTACTCGCGTCTAGTAGTTCTGTTATCTTTGCTATCTCTCAACGACTGGCACGAAAGAAACGAGCAGTGATGATTTCACGCAAGCCGACAATAACAAGTAGGTTCTGTGTTTTGGTCAAATGTTTTACTATTGTTTCGCTCTTGAAGTATTGCATTTTTTTGTTTCTGTTACCTAGCCGCGGCTTAAAAGAAATCTTCCTGAAGATGAATGATTGCAACAGTTCTTTGCCAACCAAACCACTTGACTTCAACGCTTGTTGACACAAGTGATAATGTAAATTAGGCCCCTATCATTATTGCATTGGCAGTTGGCATTATACCCAACCACACATTGAACGCAAAAGTGAACAATGATGAACTCTCCTTTCTAGGCTCTATTTCACAGAGCACCGCCCGGATTGTTATTATGCAAATGACGCAGCTGCTGTTCCGTTTTTTTGTTTAACCATGTTGATATAGCGCCCTATTGCCATGATGGCAGACAATAATTTCTAAACTTAGACAAGTGCTCTCGGTTTTATAAAGTAAGTTGTTGCGCTAGCACCATGTGGCAACATCTCTTTTGTGAGTATGTGTGGTTCTGAAAAGAATCGGAGAACCACAGATTCTCTCAAAGGAGATTTGACCACATGGTGCTACCGCAACAATTAAGCTTATTATTACCCTTCACCATGCAAACCTTCAAATCTCATCTGCTCTCGGTTTTGTACAGTTTCATTTATTGCATTACCATTAGAGAGTACTACAAAATGATGACACTGGTTTATTTCAAGTGTACTGGACCTAAGTGCTATATGACCATTCGTATGCCCATTTCAAGGCTAAAAAGTAGGCCTTTGCGGAACTAAACGTATAAAAAATACTACCAGAAAATGTCCAATTTGTCCAAATGCATACCTACATTTGACAATAACAACTAAACAACAAGCATTTTAGCTCATTTTGTAAAGGCGACTTGTTGGGAGAAGAATTTTACAGGCTTGCTAGCGTTTTAGTAGGTATAAGCAGAGGAATGTTTTTGCTTATATTTTTGAGCGTCATCGTGAAATGTTCGACAATTATTCGATTTGGTTATATTGAGATTGGAGTAGATTCGTTAAAGCATTAATAGCTGTTACGAATTTTCGTTTATTTATCGATTTATTTATTTATTGATTACATTTCTTTATCCAGAGTATGCCAAATGTCGTTGTTGTTGATTTTTTTTTGTGCAAACACAAACTAGAGTTAGAGGAAATATTATCTCCGGAATAGCCTGTGGAACGCTTGGGCCCTTCGACAAAATGTTGGTGAATTGTCCTTATTTTCATTGTGGCTGAAGTTGTTAAAATGTTGGGGTATTTTATTACTACTATGACAACCAATTTGAGAAGGCATTATTTTTTTTTCCTCGCGGGCTGCATGCTCAGAGAAAGAGATCGTTACAGTCTGTTAACATGGCTCATAGTGAAACCTGCAATCAGCCGGGGCGTTGTTGGTTGACCTGCTACAAGGACAAGAAGAGTGACAAAGTGTGTCTTTCCGCTGCTCTAGTGGTAGCATAGTTATCAAGCGCGGATCCATGGGGGTTTTGGGGGTCAACCACCCCCCCCCCAGCTCTGTCAAATTTTCTTTGCTTAGAGATTCGTTAAAAATCTGGTGCTGGTAATAATGTCCGCCCGTGCACAAAATAAAGCATGGTTACGGTGTATTTTACACTATTCTGTAATATGGTGTTAATAATCGTCGGATTTGAACAGCGCCCCCATTCAAAGTATGGCACGAGGCCTCCCCCTCTCCACCTATTGATTTCGGAGGCCAAGTGTCCGAAGAAAATAAACCTGTCTACATTTCATTTTTTTGTTGCTGATGAAACCCCCACCCTGCAAAAATTCCGGGATCCACCTTTGATATGTTCTATCTGATCAAATTAGTCATGGTTGGGACATGATTACCGTTATATCAAACTACAATGTTACGGTATTGTATCTAAAGCCTTTTATTTTGAGTAAATGTTGTTTTCGCAAGTATGTACATAACTTACTAATGCATATAAGGAAACAGACGAAAACTTAGAAACATTTTTTTTTCAAAGATACTCAGGATAAACTAATGCGAAAACGTGATTGGTAATGATTGTCTTCTGTTAAATCTTTCTGTGTGGAAGAACGTTCATTGTGAGCCCTCCGTTCATGCAGGTTAACAGAGCAAAAGGAAAAAAAAATATTCAGATGCTTGATTACATTCTCAAAACGCTGGTTACAATTTGGTTGGTTGAAAAAGTTTGTTCAATTTTAATTAACATTGTGCAAGATTTTCAAATTTTTCCCAAATGTTTACAAAACGTTCGGCACATTTTGCCCATTTTGTTGGGTATTTATGTTATCCCACTGTTGGGCTGCTCACCTGGTAAAAACAGATCGTTGAAATTAGTCATTTTACCCATGTCGGTTATTTGGAAAATTTTAAACTATGTGGGTTACAATTCTTATCAACTTTTTCAACCAACCAAAATTAACCAGCGTTTTAAGCGTGTACGCATCATGCGTTAATAACACGGCTCCATGCGTGAACTTCATCACGACAACAGACGGAAATTCAGTACCTCATGCAATAATCTACCATTCGTTTTAATAACGTAAACAACTGAACAAATACTTGCAATTTACACTGATCAGCATCATGAGATAGTATTTATTAAAGTAAAAGAGAAAAGTGATTTTTTATCCTATGCATGGGAACATTATAGTCTACAGAACCTATTCAACATTTTTAAATTTCCTATCTATAACACTTTTAAAATTTGACTTAGCCTGTGATAACGCCACACTTAACTAAGAAAAGGTTTTTGTAAATTTTAATGACTGCAAGAGTGTTCCGTTCAAATAAAAAATAGGCAAGAGTAATGTAAATTACTGATATCTTACAACATTGTGATTCTACACATTTTCATTACTTACACGAAACGAAGATTCACATTTTAGATGACATCATGGTTACATCATTTTCAAAGTCTATACACACTGAAAATATTCTAGTTATATTTGATTAGAAATCAGTCGACTTTGCATAGTGTTCCGGTGAGTGAAAGCAAGACTGTTTTCTTGTAAAATTAAAATTGGTGTTTTTTTTGTCCGTATCTTAAAGTGCCTACCAATGCCAATATACTAAAAATTTGAATTGATATCACATGACGTCACCTGCCAATGTACATGCATTATTTCACTATTGAGACATTTTGATTTAGTTGGATTAAGCTCTTTAACGTATTTACATTGAAAGGGAAAAAGAACCGAGATCGAAAAACCAAAAAGCATTAAAACAAAATTCAGAGGATTGTAGTCAGTTCTTTTGAACAAATGTTCCAATAAAAAAAGACAACAAACCTCAGCCACATTCTACCCTTGCTCCCCCCTAAAAAACCCCAAACACTACAAAATAATCCAAATTGTCCAATTGGAGCCCTTACTCAGAGCCACGTGGTCTGGAAGAGCGGAGCAGGTCGAGGGCGTGCGTAGGCTCAGTTTGCACCTCAGATTCCTGCATCGGAGAAAGTGTTGTATTTATGGACTGTTGGAACTAGGCGCCATGCGCATGTTTGTTCTAGCCAAGCCATGCCTAAAAAGGGTCACGTTTACTTTTCATCAGAGATGCGAAATCTAAACCCTGAAATAAAGCCTGAAAGTTCACCCCTGGTGGCGCGTCCGTAAATTAACGTCCACAAATCCAAAATATCTGCAACAATATTTGTTAGGCCTACATTAATTAAAAAAAAATCCTCATCGACAATGCCCTTTGTAAAAGTGTGAGGATCTCAATTTACAGAAACTGAACACTTGCATGACGCAAAAGAGATATATCATGCCAAAAAATTACCTCTGACTCGACTCTGACAAACATCTAAAAATAAAATAAATGTGGAATAGTGGAACTCAATGTAGTGGTACAAAGATACAATATTATGCAATAATTTTGTGGCGGTTATACGGTGAAAACGTAAACTAGTAAATGCCTAAATTGTTTAAAGTGCAATTGTTATAATTAAAGTATTTACAAAAATTCTAAATTGACAGCTGATAAGGACTGCATTCAAGCCAGCCTTGGTCAAGGTGTTCGTCATTATCCGTTGGTACGGTAATCCTTGCCGTGCGCCGCAGTGTCAGAGCAAATGCAAAAATACAGCGCGATCAGCGGCCTCAAGCGGTCACTATTATTATGCAAATCCATTGGGGACAGACGAGCTCCTT